ACAGATAAGATTTTTTGAAACACACTTATTTCGTATTTTGTATTTCGTATTTTTGAATGAGAGTCCCAATCTAATTTATAGAGATCTTACTCAAGGATACCTCCAAAAAGTCGTTGTCAACTAATTAACGTGTGATAACCAATTATCCAATTATGGTAATTAATTATGCATTTAATGAATGCACAACGGTAAAAAACTTGTTTAAAAATTCTCATAATTGCTCATTATAATCAATTATTGCAAGTCATAATTGATTCCTGATAATCGATTATTATAAATTGATAATCAATTATCTTGAGCATAAAATTAAGGTTTTTTGATTCAAAAAACATTTTAATGCAACCTAAGACAAACAATAAATAGAATCAAAGATACACCACATTCTATACATAAATCTACTAAATTACAAAAGTTTTAATATAAAAACAAATCTTCATGAAGATCTTCTGGCAATAAGAGCATTGAGACTTGATTTTGAGACATCATCAAAAATTTTACTTTTCAGCTTTATGCTAACTTTTTGTTGTGCTCTCGGGATATGACATAACGAGTATTCGGCATGTTGATTATGCTTGCCATGAATTTTTCTCTTAAGGTAGTTTTCTTCACATTTTTTATGGGTCCATAACAACTTTTTAATTTTATTGATCTAGTATGTGTGGTCTACGCAACTCAAAAAACTATATTGTAGTTATTGCTCTATGGCCCCTGTACTTATGGTGTGTATGCTATATTTCATGGTTATACTCACGTATCTCAATCTTTTTGTTTGTTTGGGATAATTTTTAGTGTAAACATCTAAGGTTACATTTTGAATGCAAGTTTATTTCATGGACGCTCAAATTTGGTGTTCTATTTTTTCAACTATCACTACAAAATAATATATTTTAGTAGGAGTTTTTTTCTGACGGTTTTATAAACCCCGAATAATTTTATCCGGTTTACAACATAAACTGCCCGTAACCTTTTCCTTTTTTTAAAAAGAAAAAAGTCCGACGGTTTATAAAAGTAACCGCCGTAAAATTTAAACTTTTTTCTTTATTTTTAGAATAAGTTTCCCAAAAATGTAGTTCCCTCCCCTCGCGCCTTCATTTTATTTTGTTTCCTTCTGCCTTCATTTTTCCCCCCAAACCCTAAATCGCTCTCTCCTCTCCCGGCTGCCTTCATTTTCCCCAAACCCCTTCCTCGTGCCATCTTATTGTCTTATTGGCTTCGTTATCAGGTATTTTTTTTCATGTAATTTTCTTAAAGTAGGTGTTTCTTACAGTATGGCATTCACATCTTGATAGTAATTTTCTTTGTGTAATTTGTGGGCTCAACGAGGGTCTTCCCCTGCTTGGGAACGAGGCGTCGAGGCTGCATTTGTGGACTGAGCAAGGCATTGAGGTGTCTTGTTGTTCGTTGAGGCGTCTTATTGTTCGTCGAAGGTCGAGGTGCTCTGGCGCGTTCGCTCCCGCACTGACCGTCAAGGTAAGCAGTGATTACTGTGTTCGAGCTTGAGTCTCTACTTTTGCCTCTCTCACTCTAAACTTTCGTATATCTCTGTGTGTAGTATCCCTGTTATTGATAAAGGTGTGGCTCATGAGTCTGTTGGAGTAAAACCAACGACCTTGGTTCCCAAAGAAAACCCTGTTAAAGGTGTTTAGTTTTTAGAGATTAATTTTTGGAGAATTATTAACAATGAGTTTTTCATTTTATTTTAGTTTCTCTTTATGATTTACAGATAAACATTGTCCCCAAAGCAACACTAAATAAACATAGGGATAATGAGTAGATGGTGAGGAAAATCTTTTGACTTGGTTGATCGACTTATTTTCACAGGTAAAATTTGGTTTTACTTTCGTTAGGCCTCTTCACAGTTCTTACTTGATTGAGTGGTGCACAATTTGCTATTATCTTGTTTTATCTTTAGACAAACAGGTGCTATGTCTTTCTTTCACCATCTTATACTCTTATCTGCTTATTTCTTTCGTTCATGCTATTTGTTTAACCTATATGTTTCTTCAACCAATTCCTTGGCTTGAAATGCATTGTACTACTAGATAAGGTTAGCATCATCTGCAAGCAAAACATTTGAATTTTTGCTTCTTCATAAAGTCCTTTCTTTAGTCTTTGATTTCCAACTTGGTTCATTACTCTTCCCAAGAGAGTAAAAAAAATGAAAAGAAAATGAGGGGATCTCAGGTATAGCTTCATTTTATTCCTCTAAGTTTCTACCGGTATGTTATGTGAGAGCTTGTTGAATGGTACTTGTTTTCTAATCCTTATGTTTTAGTGCTTTGATTAGGGGTGATACAAATGATATGATTTGAAATTGGAATGAATTATGAAATGGGGCTTTATTGTTTTTATATATTGATAATAATGGGATGGGATTCTGTTTGGTGGTTTGTGTAAAATCTGAAGAAAAATAGTGAAAATTAATAAAATAAAATAAATTAGTTTTTATTTTATGTTGGTTAGATGTTAGATTGTTGGTTATTAAATACATTGATTTATAATTTTAGTTATTTATTTTTTATTATTTTATTTTATGGGTGTATTAATTGTTGAGTACGATTTATATATGTTTTTTTTACATTACTTTTGTCAAACCTATTAAAATATATCCAACGCCACCTGTGAGTATCAATTAATTCACCCACGACACTTGCTCAGATGCATTAAAAATGCACTCAAACTCTGACGCACAAATTGCCAAGTGCAAAATGGAACATTCGGAAGTCAGTAAGTGGAGGCAGTGTGTCAGCAAAAAGAGCCCGCGACCGTTTGACGTGGGGCAAACAAAAATGATTTCTGAAAAACCTGCCACACTCTTCTGCACGCACCGTCTTCCTCCCAAACTCTGAATATCCATTTTCTCCTCTTCTCTCTAGAAAACTCTTCCTTTTCTCTATGAAACTCATCCTTTCTCTTCTCCGTTCATCATCAGAACCAATAGAAGTACCCCGGCATCGTGAGTTCTTGCTGGAACCGAACAGTTTCAGAGTCTGAAGCTGGTAAGTTCTCGACCTAGCCGTTCGTTTTTGGGTTACATGCAAAACCAAGAGTTTGGTTGCATGCAGGGTAACAATCTAAATTCTTATGTATTTTTATGGTTAGACTTAGTTGGAGGAATTAGAAAATCGTTGAGGGTAGAAAGCTGTAGTTGGACGAATCAAAACATACTCTTAGGAGTTCACCACTGATCCAGGTAGGGGAAGCTTATTCAATTTAATTCGTATGTTTGTATTGTACTGTATGAACGTTCTGTGTGTTGCATGAAGTATGATCTGTATTATTTGATTTTTGGTATATGATTATGATTATAGTTGATGTATGAGAAGTATGAAATGTACTATGATATGAGTATTTGAAAGTATGAAAGTTTATGCTGAGAAATGAGTTTAATGTAAATGAAACTTTGAATATGAATTTCCTATGATAATGAACGTTCGTCATTGAACGGTCCTTGACCGTTCGGTGTGTTACCAAACTTCTTTGAAATTGAATTCTTTCATTTGGAAAGAATTCTAGTTGAGGACGAATGCCCTCTTGCATTAAGTGCTACGTTTGAGTGTTCGGCCAAAACGTAGATACCCTGAGTGTTGTGTGAGGAATTGAGAAACTTGTAAACATAACTGGATACTTAGTCATTCTGAATTCTATCTTCACTATCCTATATTATCCTTATTACTTTTTCTATTATATATTCAAATCAGCGATGAGTCTCGACCCAAAGCGTACGTTATGAGTGGCGCGGTCTTATACCGAACGCTCGTCCTTGTCTTTAATTACCAAACAGGTGGAAATAGCGTTCGTCCAAAATTTCAGTAAATACGTATTACCGCGTTCGGTCATTGACTGGCAGTCGGTCTCTCTAATTGAATTGTTCTCGGTATAGTTATTTACTCGTCTTGTGGTGTCTCTATCCATTTGGATTCGGCCTAGAGCCTTGGTACTTAACTTATTCTGAGTATTGATCGGATCGTTCTAGAGTCAGTTCATTCAACTGATTCGAGTGGTAAATGACGTTAGTCATCTGATAGTGTCGGTTTGTTCTGTTCGGAAACGAGGATTTCTCGGTCTCGTTTTTTAACGTTCTTCCTCGTTATGAAGAGAGCTGAACGCTCGTTATTTGATGAAATTGAAATGGAAGACGAAAATGAGATTAAAGTGAAGAATTATAAGGATGAACAGTATATGAGTAAAATGATGGTTTGGATTTTGAACGAGCGTTCCAGGGAGGAACGACTCTTGATGAAAGTTGGAATTTGTAAAGTATAATGTGGACAAAGCTTAGCTGGAGTTTCATCCTGATGTTCCGTGAGTGCTCGCGCCTCACGTAGAGGGGAGTATGTCAGTGTGGGAACGGCAGGAGGTCCTAGTCCTTAGGGGTACTTTGGATGGAAGGGACTAACCTCGGGTGGCAGCTGATGATAAATTTCCAGTTACTACACCACCTGGGTGCACGAACGTCGTAGCTACACAGAATTCATACGGTCCGGACAATTAGTCTAGTAGCGGAATTGATTGAGTTTAAAGAATTGAGTGAATTAATATGTTGTGAATTATTCGATAGTTGGATGTGTTATGAAATGCATGTTATTACTTGAATTAAATTCAATAAGCTTACCCTTCGTTTTTCCTTGTGTTGTCTCGTCCTTGTACGTCCGTCCTTGTCAATTGCAATGATCATCCGTGTGGATGTGAGCAGATGGAGAGGCGTTGCTTGAGGAGACGCTTGAAGAAGGAATCTTAGAGGAAGAAAATCTCGTCGATGTTGAAGTGAAGGCCGAACAGTAGTACGTTCGGTTATCTGTTTAGTTTAGTTAGATTAAGAGTGCTGTATTAGAACGACCCCTCCCCTTTTTGATTAATTTGACCGTTCGGTATTTCTATTTTGTAAACCGTTCGGTCAGGTATGCTTAGATTGAACATCTTTATTTGTAGCAGCTTATGTAAGGCCGTTCGGCCAAGAGCGTACTTTATTCTCTTTAATTGTAAGACTGAATTGATATATTAATATATGTGAATATTCTATTTGTATGGTTTATGACTGTATTTATGGGATGTTACAACTTTCAGCATAAAAGCTTGTGGAATGGTAGCCATGGGTGCTGTGATTGTTTGAGAGGGCAAGGGTTTAAACCTTCCCTACGTACTTTAACAAATAAAACTATTATCCCTTTCCTTCAATTCTTTTATTCATACTTCAGGAGGGACCCACGTCAATTAATATCTTAAAATGATAGCTTAATAAGATTGAGTTATCTTATCTTCCTGCAATAGAAAAGAAAATAATATTCAAGCACATATAATAATTCATTATTTGAATATACATGTTTAATAATGTACAACTCACCACTCCTAGTTCCTATACATAAAACTAATAATAGCTAGCTACCAACCTATCTAGTGTTGAACTGCAATTACCTCAAAGTTCACAAACATACCCCAGTTCTTATGACACAACAATGATTTTCTCCTTCGGATATCTGTTACTCAGAAACAACTACTCACATTGTCTACCACTACCATGGTCCTGTAAGTGTCCTTCTCAAGCATTGTATTTTACTTACCCTTGGCTGGCATGCAGAGTCTGAATCCTGCTTAGATAAACAAATAAAAAATGTTTATTTGGCTTTCAAACTGTGAAAATAAATTGAAAAATAATTTATGTTGGTAAATCTCTCTATTGGTGTCAACCAGTAGAAAAAAGTGAGGAAAGAGCCATTTGATGAAGAGAACATTGGCAGAGATTCATATGCAAAACAGATCATACCTTGTTTTTCTGCATTTCCTTAATTTCTGCCTGTAACAAACCAATTGTAATCAGAGAAGACCAAAACCTTTGTATACATTTTACTGATAAGTGATAAGGATGTGGTGCAGAATGACAGCATACCTGTTTTCTTTCCAATTCTCTGTTTATTTACTTAAGTTTTGCAACTTCAGCTTCTAGTTCGAAAGTGTAGGCCCGTCATTCACAAGAGATAGAATATTATAGTTACGTGCCTTATAGAAGATCCACCCACACAGTAAATTACTAGAGTTTTTTTTTTTTTATCTTTAGAATAAAACTAACATTTTTGAGAAAGTGAGGAACAAAAGAATAATAAAAGGTATAACAAAAGAACGTTAGAAATTAATTATATATATCTTTTAATTTTTATTATTAGGTGAGTTTTAGGAGTTGCAGTGCAAAAGGAAATGGCTTCATTTTTCAAAAGAAATTAAAATCACATGATTTCGTATGTGTATAAANCTTTCCAATTCTCTGTTTATTTTCTTAAGTTTTGCAACTTCAGCTTCTAGTTCGAAAGTGTAGGCCCGTCATTCACAAGAGATAGAATATTATAGTTACGTGCCTTATAGAAGATCCACCCACACAGTAAATTACTAGAGTTTTTTTTTTTTTTATCTTTAGAATAAAACTAACATTTTTGAGAAAGTGAGGAACAAAAGAATAATAAAAGGTATAACAAAAGAACGTTAGAAATTAATTATATATATCTTTTAATTTTTATTATTAGGTGAGTTTTAGGAGTTGCAGTGCAAAAGGAAATGGCTTCATTTTTCAAAAGAAATTAAAATCACATGATTTCGTATGTGTATAAAGTTAAAATTTATTAATATTACTTGAGCTAAAACATAATTCTGAGATAGTTTAAAAAATAAAAACATATTTTACCCTTACTTCTCTCTAAGTATATGTTAGAACAGTGGAACTAATACAGTGATGAGTACTAACATTCTTACGAACCCGTGATCTGGCTGTTGATTCTCAATTTTTGATCATTCTCCTTTATCTTCTCTCAACCACTTTCTCTATAGCACTAGATTTTCTTCTTGGCGACAGTGGATTATTGTCTACATTACTTCTTGTAATTACATCCGATGACATTTTTCTCGAGGGAGAAGCCTCTGGATTACCCGAGGCTAAACCAATGTAAGATTGCCCTTTCAGGTCAACAGTAGTGAGTTTCATTTCATTTATCATTCATATATTGTTCATTTTCCTGTACTCCTACATTTTTTTTGTAGGCTGAGTCAATGAATATGTTAATTGATCAGCTCTGTAGAACAAAAATGCTTGAAGGAGTAAAGTATACATATTCGAATGAGTGTTTTACATCAAAGGTGGGTTAACATGAATGCTATTATGAAACTTAATGAATTTACATTTGCCCTGAGCTATTTTTTCAAAATGACTCCAACCTCTCCCTTGGTTGGTGACTACCACTGTTGAAAGAATTAAATATCTATGAAGTGTGAAGCGGATATTGTATATTGAAGTTGAACATTTCTACACGGAACAAAATGATTTACATGAATTCTTGTACAAAATAATGTGGTTAGATGTAAGTGGAGAAAGTTTAAGGTAATGAAGGAAAGAAATTTGAAAATCTTGATTTTACTGACAGTAATATACTTGTTGAAAGACTATCCTTGAATTGCTTGTTCACAGTTCACATTATGAGAATGATTAGATTCACTTGATGCTTTAGTACTTATTTACCTGTTATTCATCTATAATAGTCATGTGGAGAGAGAGCTAAGGATGCTAATGTTTATTTATTTTTTGTGTGTCCGTGTAATTGCTAAAGTAGCATGTGCATATACAAAATTATACTGTCACATTCCCTGTGAAGCATTACAATATTGCAAACATCCAAGAAAACAAAACGTTTTATTTGAATAAGAAATGTTTTATATGCTTGTTTTTTTTTTCAATAGAAGTGGGATTTCATTTAACATATTACCTACTGATGCAGCTGGTTATCTTCATATAATCAATCAAATGAAGGAGCTCATAACTGGAGTAGGCAAGAAGACCTATACTTTGGTTATGGGAAAGCCAAAACCAAATAAACTTGCTAACTTTCCTGAGGTGAATGGCAATAATAGTAGTAGAAATTTGATACTTTTTGTAGATAGTATAGTTAGTAAATATGATATGGTGAATAGGATGATAGAAAATAAACTGTATTACATAAAAATAAAGAAAATAAAATTTGATTTATGCCAATTTGAGTTAGGCATTGTTTTATAGATTAGTCTAGTTTCCTACTAACAAAAGTTTCATACTAACATTTTGTCCTATTTTTGGTAAGCATTGACATTTGAAGGAGTAATATACTTGTGAACTTTCTGGTGTGGGGTGTTTCTTTTCAGACTTGACAGGTAGATTAATAGAGGTGAAAAAGTATTATTAATTAATTGTGTTTGACACTATTTGCATGATAACAATAGTTGAATGTTTCAAAAGTAAAGGTTTGTACCCTATGATCAATGATGTTAATAGTTTAGTATTTAACCTTTTTGCCGTTTTGCAGTAGGAAAAATGAAAATATTAGTTACTAGGGTGTAGTACTTCATTTCTCACAAGGGATACCTATATGCTTGCACTGTTGCAACCTTCTGATTAGTTTGATTGTGAGAAAACGTATGAATATGTGCTTTCTAACATATTGGATACTATTTTGTTTATGGTGGATGGAACTGTGGGCAAATGATACTGAATCTGACATATCGAACATTAAGCTATCCCTGTAGATTGTTGGATTGGATTACAAAATGGGTTTAGTTTTTCATGTTGATCATGCATTGATTGGTAGAGTCCTTCAATTAATTTTGGTTTATTTTTGGTTAATGTGTTTTGATTATAATATAGTCTTTGATTTCAAGGATTTGCAATACCAAAAGATGTAAAAAAAAGTTGCAAAATTTGATTTTCATGGGCAGCCAACGGAACTCAAACAAAATTAGATATTGTTTTAGTTTTTTTTTTTTTTAGTAATGTAACGAACATATTTTTAGTATGTTAATTTAGTATTGAACATCTTTCTTTTTAATATATGAATAATTAGTTGGATAAACATATTAATATGTTGAACAATGCAGTTTATTTTATATATAATATTCAGTTTTATTAATATTATTTTATTGCATGTTTGGTTAATAAAACTAATTTTATTATAATTTCATTTTATTACAATCAAAACCTAAAAAAAAAAAGATGTACACATTTCCAGTGGTTTCAGCAAAACTTTGCTAATTTTGGCGGTTTCATTAAAATCCTCGCTAATTCCAGCGGTTTTAGTAAAACTCTTGCTAATTCCGGTGGTTTGAGCAAAACCTCCGCTAATTCTAGCGGTTTCATTAAAACCCCCGCTAATTTCAGCGGTTTCAGCAAATTCCCCACTAATTTTGGCGGTTTCAACAAAACTCCCGTTAATTCCGATGGTTGTAGTAAACCCCCCGCTAATAGTGACGCAGCTTTTGTCCGTGATTTTCACAGCTTTTCCCAGGGGTTTTCCTAACCTTGGATAACATACTTTCTGGGAGTTAAAACCGCTAGAAACGAAAAAAATAATATCCGGTAAAAATCTAAATTTTTGTAGTGTATATGTGATGGTTTTATCTATACTATCAATATATCTAATTTATATATCTAGAGAGAAATTGTGAATTAGATATTTTATTGACTTTCTTTAATTTTTAAAACATTAGTGCATAAAAATAAATAAATACACTTGAATCTCCCTTTTTATTCTATGGAATACTTGTATATTGGAAAAGTCACATATGCGCACTCTGACCATGCCGAGATCGCAGTTCCAGTCATTTACCTGGTGCATTCAACACATACTTGGTTCCTACTAACAAGAAGCAGAAGAAGAAATTTTCTTTATCAAACCGATTTGACGAGGTTTCTATCACATTTTCACTTTGCTGCTAAGTACAGTAAACTAAATATAACTATTTATCTCTACTTATGTTTTTGTGTTTGTAGCACTGAAACAACTAAATTTTCTAAGTTATGGAATGAAGTAATTTGTAGTTTCGGTGAGGAAGATATCAATCAACTTTTATATTCACTAACTATCTTATGTACTCCTACAATTCACATTAGCCCAATAACGAATTTCTTTCTTCCTTGAATGCTTTCTTTTATTTATTTTTTACTTTTAAATGGGTATAGTACGTTTTGAAAAATGCTAATTGGTTTTTTCATTGCATGGTCTTTTTCTTTAACTTCTTTTCCACTTTCAATGTAGATATTCTAAGAGGAGGGGACAATGGAAAGCTGCAACACAATCCCAGGAGTTCTTTAGGACTCTTAAACGATATTACAACAATGCTTACATGATACTGAGAAGAAAAATGCAATTAACATGTATGTGGCACGTTGTATTTCTTAACTATTTATTGATTTTTACTTTAATTGTTTGTGTACGGTAATACCATTTCCATATATTTTTATCAATTTATTAAATATGTAATTATATATATATATATATATATATATATATATATATATATATATATATATTATGAAAAGAAAGGTTAAAATAATAATCATTGAATGATCAATTTTATAAAATGATGTCATTTCATTTTTTAAATTATTTTAATGAATATATTTCTAAATATTAAAATAAAAAGCATATACAACTCATGTTCAATGTTGTCAATATTCATTTTGTTAAGATCATATATCCTTGTTACAATCGTACGTTCCAACTTTTTAAGATCTTGCAACACACCTTTGGATCCTATGTAGAATTTTAATCTTGACAACATTATTTATTATTGACACTAAAAGGAAAATATTTCTCTGACAATATTTTTGTTTTCTGTCAATCACTAATTCTTATTTTACTAAGTCTTGTTAATATTCAGTCTTCCTAATTTGCTTTGGAGAAAGTTAATTCAATCCTAAATACCAATTGTCATCACATTCCTAATTATTAAATTCACTAAATGTATCTTAATATCTTATTACTATTTGGCATATATTCTTAATCTATATTAGTGTTACCTTCTCTATTCCTGATATTATTATAACTAATTATTTTAATCTGCCCCATCACATATATGTATATACTTTTAGTTTTATTGTTTTTGCTTATACATGCTTTAATTTTATTTATTTACTATGGTCATACAAACCTATTGAGCTTAAACAGGATATATGGTTTCAAAGCCTAAGTCAAACAATATCAAGTAGACACCAATTAAGGTGTTTTATGTGTAGTATAGTCTTGACTTTGATAATTAAATTACTGAATGACCTTATGTGACTTTTAGTTCACATCGTGGCTAGCTATATTGTACTGATTAGGTGAATATACGGTTGAAATGACTTACTATTAACAATTTAAACTTGCATATGGTATATAGTTGTTTCTTATCATGCACTGAATTTGTTTGGAGTTTACTAGAGTTTTTGTTCGCTATGATGTTCAAATTATGAAGATGTTTTCTACTTTTCGTTTTCAAGTGTCCAAAACAACCCAACAACAATCATTATAGGTATTACGTGTATCGATATATGAAGGAAATTATCACATACTGTGAAGGAGGGACAATTCTAACTAATGTAAGTTATCTTCATTGTCACAATTAATTTGTAGTAAAAAATTAATTAACTAATTTTATATTATTTTTCTTTCTTGCAGTATTTGTCTAGTTGCAGATGTGAACAATATCGTGATAATCAAATAATTGAAGTTAGGAAAGATTGATGTTTATAGATAATTAGTACATGATTATAAGTTATGTTATAGTGATGTACATGCTTATAGGTAATGATATGATATATATGTTATGGTTGTATATATTGTCTTATAAAGCAATGTCATGTCATGACACGTATGGGATGATTCAACGATTATATTTTGAAATATTATTGCACCAATAAATTTTATTCATACTAATGAACATTCTTTTTTAGATCTTTGTCTTTTTCATATTTTTCTTAATATTTTATATTTTTTTTGCATATAATAGAACCAATAGATAGCACAGATTTGTACAAAATAAAACCAATACTTTATATTTTCTTTTGAAATTTTTTAAAATTTTTTCAAATATTTTATTAAAAATCATTTTTTTAAAAAAATTAGACCAATAGATAGCACTTATTTAAACAAACGCTATCTAATGTTAGACAGTGTAACATCCCAAAATATATAGTATAAACTATATAAATAGTAGTAAACATTATAATATGATAGAACAGTTAAAGACTTGCAGATAAAGAGTTAATCTTACAGTCATCCAAAATGACTATAATATTTAAAACTTTATATACAATAGAGTATTTCAAAACTATACAAAACAACTAAAGGATCCTAACTAAACTAAACAGCAGCGTCATCACCCTCCAAGACCTGCTCCAAGGGCACCTCGCCTACATCTGCTCACATCCAAATGGATGATCATTACAAAAGAAAACACCACACAAACCACATACAAACACAAGCAGAAGGGTGAGCTAGATATACAAAGATCATACAATTATAATAGCATGCAACATACAAAGTTCATTCAACAAAAGTATATTAAATCACACATCCTAACATGTTATATTCTAGACTTGACTCGTCCAGACTTAAAATGATTGTCGAGCTATGGTAGGTTATACACTCGTGGTGGCCTCTACTGCTTTGCAAAGTCATTGCCAATAGGTTTCACTCTACCACACTCACGAGGTTAGTCTGTTCCGGGCCTTGAGGTATACTAGAAGCCCCCAAGACTAAGACCTCCTACTATTCCTCAAGACATGGTTCAATCCTTTCTACTTGAGAATGATTGACCATTGGAGTTTCAGGATAACCCCCAACACTAAGCTCTTGCATTCATTCTAAACAACCTAGAATCTCACCAAGAGATTCTACCATGAAACTTACTTTCACCACTTTGAATCACATACTTTTATTTGTAATTGAACTCATAACAATTCTCAATTATATACCAACCTCCACCTTCAAATATAATTCACAATACACACCACAAATAATTTGATCAAATTCAATACAAAGCAATTTAAAGAACAATTGTTTCAAACCTTTCGCTTTGCGCACCCAATTCGTAAGACGAAACCAGAAGTTCCTCGCACAACGACTTGTCTCGCTATGCGAATTAACTCGCAGAGATACCAGACCTCAACCTCTCGCATAGCGACCCCAGGTTGCTATGCGCAAGTCCAAACAGAGACCAACCTTCCCAACCCAGTCGCTATGCGACCCCTTTTCACTCTTCGAATAAAATCATAAATAACCCCAGACCCCAACTAGGCGCATTATGCCCTAATTCGCCATGCGAATCACTACACAAAGAGCAACTCACTCCAACCATTCGCACAACGCCCAAACTCGATGTGCGAATTTCCAGACAGAGATCAACCTCTCAAGTCATTCGCACAGCGCACCAACTCGTTGTGCGAATGCCCTTGGGAAAGAGCAACTCGTTATGCGAAACTATTCGCATAACGAGTCTGCATAATCTGTAGAACATAATTCTGCAGATTTATGCAACTCAACCACAATTTACCTATTCTCACTATTTTTCTCAACTTTTAACACTCCTAGATTGTATTATATACCTAATTAGACTTTTCTAAGTGATTCTAAACATGCCTACTACCAATTTAAAGTGAATATAAACCAATTCTTACTCTAAAACATTCAATTCCACAACTTAGAGACCCAAAATCAATTCTACGACTTTGCCCAGGGTTTTGACCATTTGAAAGACTCACACAAGTCACAAATGACTTACCTATACTCTCTAAACAAACCAAATAAGCACTTGACCTCTAATTCTCAAATTCATTACTTCACTTCCTCTAAAATAACCTAAAACACTATCAATTAACTGAACTTTCTATCTAATAGCTACTATAACAGAATTCAATCATCTAACATACTCAATTACAGTTACACATCACATCTAATCAATTCACTAACAATATTTCACAGTTTCATAAATAAACATTTCCAAGAATACTGATGGTTTTGCCCCTAAGTTGCTTGGTTTGGCTCTCCACAATTCTAACAGGCTGCAATTCAACAAACAGATCTTCTCTCGCTTGCACATCTTCAGCTTCTAACACATGAGATGGATCAGGTACATATTTCCTGAGCTGTGAGACATGAAACACTGAATGAAGATTCGCCACCTGGGGTGGCATGGTTATCTCATAAGCAACTGGCCCCACTCGTCTCCAGATCTGATAAGGACCAAGATACCTAGGAGATAGCTTCCTAGCACGAATGGCTATTCCCACACAAGTAGTAGGAGTCACTCTGAGGAAAACATAATCCCTAACTGTAAACTCCAAAGGTCTTCGTTTCTGATCAGCATAGGACTTCTACCTACTCTAAGATGCCTGCATCCTCTCCTGAATCAACTTCACTTTATCTGTAGTCTGCTGAATCAAATATGACTCGATCAATACTGATTCTCCCTCTTGAAACCAACAAAGAGGTGTTCTACATCTTCTCCCATACAGTGCCTCAAATGGTGTCATACAAATGTTGGCCTGAAAACTGTTGTTGTAGGTGAACTCCACCAGCGACAACACCTCATCCCAGACTCCCAAGTGATCTAAGGCACACGTCCTCAGCAAATCCTCAAGTGATTGGATCGTTCTCTCTGACTGGCCATCAGTCTGGGGATGATACGCTGAACTCATCTACAATCTGCTACCCATCTCACTCTAAAGCGTCTGTCATAATCTAGAAGTGAACCGCGGATCTCTATCTGAAATAATGCTAGAAAGCACCCCATGCAGTCTCACAACCTCTCTAATATACAACTGTGTCAGCTTTGCCATCGACATTCTCAAATTTACAGCCAAGAAATGAGCACTCTTTGTCAACCTGTCCACAATCACCCAAATAGCATCATGACATCGGACCATACGTGGAAAATGGGTAACAAAATCCATAGCTATGCTATCCCATTTCCACTCAGGAATCTCCAACTGCTGTAACAAACCATCGGGTCTCTGATGCTCCACTTTAGCTTTTTGACAGGTTAAACAAGAAGAGACAAACTACGCTACATCACTCTTCATCCTAGACCACCAGAAAGATTCCTTGAGATCCTGATACATTTTAGTCATGCCAGGATGCATGTTAAAACGACTCTGATGACCCTCCTCAAGGATCAATCTCCTTAACTCAGAATCACTAGGAACACAATCCCTGCCTCTAAACAACAGTATACTGTCAATCCCCACAACGAAGTCTCTACCTTAATTTGTACCAATCAACCCCACTGACCTCTGAAGCTCGACATCTGACAAATGTTTCTCCCTGATACGGTCCAACAGATCACTCGACACTACCAAAGTGTTGCATCTGAAACAATCAGGTTCAAACTCCACATGCAATCTTAAATCTCTAAATCTCTCAACCAACCCCAACTCTCTGACCATCAAAGTTGAGACATGCACTGACTTCCTGCTCAA